TTCTTTGGTCAAGATTGACAAGTTTTTTCATAACGAACTGAACACAGACCTTCCATCCAAACTTAACTTAATGTTAATTAATTAAGTCAAATCCCCATTGATACAATGCAACATCAAAAATATACCATTTTTAATCAGCATTCAGGCCTTTCTATTATGTATTTAGACCCCACAAATAAAATCATGAAAGATTGGTTACAAAGTCCAAACAGAATCCCTAGACGTCATCAACTTGCATATTTTCTTAATAAGACACCAAATGTGAAAATCCCTCTTTCCAAGGAATTTTTCTCTTTAATCCCAGTTGTTGGACCATTCAGTATAGACCCAACAGAACGTGATAAATATTTTATAGAAAGCAAATCAGAAAGTTGTGGTGCATTTTTCACTGAGTTAATATCAAGCTTAATTTACACCCCTCCAACAGGAAAAACAGCAAATTCATTTCACTCCCTTTGGGATTTTATTATCAGCAAGTCACTACAAGTATTTGGAAAATATTCTAATGAAATGCCAATAATGGAATTTGATCGTAAAAGTTCCAAATATACAACCACAGGTAGGTTCATTAAAATAATTAGCTTGATAAATAGAAATATATCATTACTAATGAAAGGTTTTATAGGTCAAAATCAACCAGATTTTGCCTTATTTATAAGAAACATTTGTGCTGTTCGTGGAGAAGAGAAAGGAGAAGTTGAAAAAGGAGATTCTGCTAGGGAATTGGTTGACAAATTCAATACTTGGGATTATGGAGACATTCCATATCTTTTTGGATACTATGCCAATGCTACTGCTGTTACCTTTTGTGTCCTTTATATTAGTGAAAAAAATCCCATTAATATTAACAGTCAAAAGACAAAGCATCCAGATATTTGTAGTGAGAAACTTGCAGAATTTGATTTAAATAGATTAACACATAGATTCAAGCTAATGAATTTAATTAAAAATATGTGTAGGTTCTTTAATGTCTTGATTTTCAAACCTCTCATTAGAAATGTTAATTTACTTTATAAAACTTTAGGTCGAATACTACCTATGATTATCAACATGTGTCCTTCAAGAGAATCACCAGATTTTCAAGTCATAATGCGTGATGATGGAACTTGTATTGAAATTGGTTATGGTATTAAAAAAATATTGCCTTCAGAAGCTAAAGTTAATCATCTAAAAAATATTTATGGGTTTATAGATGTAAGTTTAAAAATATCTCCATTTCATTTTTTGTCTTTCAAATTTATATTTTAAAAAATATTTTTCACACACAGAATTACAAGATCAAATGTGTTGAAAAATTAATTTATTCTCATGAGAATGTTGTTTACTTGGAGCCAAGGGGGGAGGAGAAGAGACCACAAAATCCCAATGAGTTACTAAAAGCTTTGATTTGTGTATTAACTTGTTTAGAGGTACCATCACCTTAACTGATTTAGTTGATATATGTATTTTGTTTATTATTAATTAAACTATATGAAATTATATATATTTAATTAGGGCTTGCATAATATAAAACCTAGTCCAGTTATGCATAGAAGTATACAATGGCCAAATATTATACAATATGGAAAACAATATATTTTGATTGACTTTGATTTTGCCAGCTTTTCTCCTTCAAATGAAAATTTACAAGAACTTAACCCAGATAATCATGCACCCGAAATGTTGATAGGAGCACATGATATAACAGTTGATATCTGGGGTGTTGGATACTTGATTACTTCAAGTGGTATTAATAATGAATTACCTGATGAACTTTTATCACTTTCACAATCAATGTGTCAAAAGGATATAAATGCACGTCCAAATGCATCTGATACACTTAAAATTGTCAAAGGTCTTTTTGTGAAGGTAACTGATTTTTTTCATTACCAATTAATTAGTGTCACTATTTACTTTATCTAGAATATAATCTTGATAAGTTTTAACTTTACAGTGGTTTCCTAATGATGACTGGCTAAATCATTTTGATAACTAGAAAAGAATGAAATAGTTGATGTGGATTTAATATTTTTTTACTTGTCAAAGTGATAAATAATGCATTTAATTTTCCTTTCTTGTTCATAAAAGCTTTTTTAAAATAAAAATTACTTTTGCAAAGAATGATTGATATTTAATGAATTAAAATAAAACTACAAGGTGAATATATATAGGGTTATAGATATATGAAATGCATTAACAAAAGTAATGAATATAATAATGGTTCTAATGAAGAATTTGCAAAATTACATGAATCATTTCAAGCCTGAATAAGATATATTTTTAATGGCTAAAACAATGGATGGTGGATCAATAAGCACTAGTAGACGCCTTAAAAAGAATTTTCTATAATACACTATTTTTCCAAAAAAACCTATCTCAATATGCTAGGAATTGGTAAAACTTATTTTTGAAAATATTAGGAATTACCTGATAAACAATGACCTTCTATCTAGAGTTCATGGCAATGTAAAAAGAATGTCCCAATGAAAAACTAAAATGGTGATTGATAAGTGCTAAAGAATTTCTGGAAAATTATGTGGAAGTCTATCTATGGATTACCAAGCCCAGGAAGAGTGACAATAGAATAACTCAATCAGTTATATTTTTACCAGCCGAAATGAGTTGTAAAAATATTCTGGCTGGTCTGGAAGAGGATAGTAATTTGGAGTCCTTGAAGTATGACGCCAACTAACTCCCCAGATTCAAATTATGAGTCCAAGAGCTGACTTGTGTGATACTTGCCAACATTTTCGAAATGGCTTACATTACAATGCTCACCAAGAGGAAGAAGCTAAAAAGAATTACTAAAGAACATTCGTCCAAGGCAAAATCAGAAAAGAAATTATTATAATAAAATACCAAATTGGCAAAAGAACAAAGAAACAAAATCATTCAAGCACTGGTGATTGAGTCTAAAATGTTCATGTACCACATTCAGATCTACAGATAAGTGAATGTCATAATATTATGTACAGCATCCGAGTGATAGCCATAATTAAAAGCCACAATGTTGTAATTAACTTTTGAGCTATGCCTGTCAATTAATTGCAAGCTTATATATTCAATGCTCGTTTTATAAATTTGATGCCTCTTTCTTGTACTTAAAAAGCTTTGGAGAATCTGTAAGCACACTTTTATGGTCACAATTAACAACATTATAAAGCTTTACTGAAGTTCCTTGTTTATTTACTTTTACTTTTCTTTGGTTAGTTAAATTCAGCCGTGCGTTGCAAAATACAACAAAGTGATGGTGGTAACGACTTTGGTTAATAAATGTCAGCACTTTATATCTGGCCAAACAATTTTAACAACTTATGTTTACATAAAAACAAAAATGTTTATGCTTGACAAAAACCAAAAATTAAACCTTTGCTTTCTGACCAAAGCAAATAACCAAAACCGATTTACAAAACCTCAAAGTTTTTCTATTTGAATAAGGTTTATTCAAATTATTTGTTTTATTCGTTATGAATATTCAAATTACATTGAAAGTTTATTCGAATAAAACAAATAATTTGAATAAGAACCTGTATTACGAATAGAAGCTCTAGTTTTACACCACTTTGATAACTAAATAAACAATTAAACCCTACTGTTGAATTTCCGACTACAAAAGTGTTTTTTATTAATTTTATTATTTAATTTGTAAAAATGTTTGTTATGGAAATGAATTAATTAACAACTTTCTGCCTCTATTCTTATGAGCAAGGCTTTGAAATGTTATTTTCTATGCATAATTTTGAACAAGTTACAATTCTTGGCACATGACTTCGAATTTTTTATTGCGAAGGCAACAACATCTTTTCCCTCACCAAGTAACTTGTGAGTTCTAATGGCCAGTGTTTAATCCAGCCTTTTTATCAAATAATTGCTTTGAAATATTTCCACACAGTTTCATTTTCTTTCAGATGTTTCTTTTCACCAACTGGTTTACTTGGTCCATTCTTTCCAAGACTTTTATTTCATTATTTTATCAATTATTTGATTTATATTATAGAGTTTGTTGTATTTTTTATATATATAATGAGGAAAAAAAGTCCAATTAATAAGCCACAGATAATTTAGTAGTAAAGGCAAGCATTTTTGTTAAATGGAGGGTTTTGAAAAGTATTATTATTATGATTTCTAAGAATATTTGGTGCATTTTGAAAACATGGGCAAGGTGTCTGTCTGGGTTTCAGCAAAAGCATGTTAAATGTAAATATTACAGTTATGAATTATATGGTGTGTGAAGCACATTTTAAACATGTACTTGCAAATATCTTGGAATTTCTTAGCTCTAAGAATATAATAATAATAATAATAATAATAATAATTCTCACCATTACAATTAAAAAATCAACTCTTAAGCTATTTTATTGATAAGTATCAATGAAAGAATTAAAAGTTTTATTTGCAAGGCCCATTTATCAGTGTGGGTTTTTTCTTTCTTTATCAGAGTTAATAATACCAACTAAAAATTTACAGGAAAAAAGCCCTTTGTTTAAATTATCTAGGGGGAAAAATTTTTCACTACTTTACTTGATAATGTATATAAAGAAGTAAAACGAAGTTGATGCATTGGTAGAAAAAGGCTAGATACTATAAATTTATCTTATGCGCATCTCTAAGTGTAACGTGATCTGGATTTAAAATTTTCTTTTGGGAATTCTGGGTACATAGTACAGATGTTGGGTTCACCTCTAATGTGTAACGGCGTTTTTTATCATTTATTTTATTTTTTAATAATAATAATAATAATAAAATAATTCTACTTGGTTATAAACTGTCAGATTGCTCTTTAATATATAAATTTAGTATTTCTTTTGCCAATAAAGCTTCTTTGTTCGGAACAGGCAGAGCCTCTTCTGTCATCAAAATAAAAATCTTAAAAAAATTTGGTAAGTCATGTGATAAATTTTAAGATCCATTTTGTAAATAAATCCTTTTCGATATATCGAGATTCACTGTGTTGGAGGTGGTAGTGACGTACAATAAGCCAGTTCTCTGTCTAATATTTTTTTGTCTGTTAGATCAAAAAATTTTCACATGTACACGTGGTACTAATAAACAAAACTTTAAAATAAGGTGTTCTCATTATATTATTTCTAATGAATCAAATTGGAAATAAATAAATTTATTTTATTTATTTGTACATAATTTTCATTATTCCGTTATTTTCATTATCTTCTATTCTTTCATTCTTAAATTCTTTAAAAATTTTAGTTCAATAATAATAATTATAACAATGCATCAACAATTGTTGGAAGTTACAGAGTATGATGTTATTATTCTTGGAACTGGTTTGATAGAATCGATTCTTGCGGGGTAAGTTTTTCTGTTTCATGTCGTTATTTTTTTATTTTTAAATCTAAAAATTTTTCGTTTTTTAGTGCTTTAGCAAAAATTGGAAAATCAGTTTTACATATGGATACAAATAATTATTATGGTGGAAGTTGGAATTCGCTTAATTTCAGAGAATTACTAGAATTAATAAATAGTTTACAAGGTTGTTTAAAAGCTTTAATATAAATTTATACTTTGAGAAAATATTTTTTAAAAAAAAATAATAATAAATAATCGTTTTAACACTTAAAGTCACATATTGTGTATATGTATATATATACAATCACTAATTAGGTTTAGATTCTGATTCTGATGAAAATACTCAAGAAAGTAAATATATTAATTACATATAACATTTATTGATTTTATTAAACTGTTTATTGTATTAATTAATTAATTAATTAATTAATTAGTTATTGAAGGAAAAAGAGCTTTAACCATTGATTTTATCAAAGCTCGACGACAAGCCTACTCATCTATTGAATATGAAATTTATTCTAGTATTCTTAATAAAAATAAGGCTTATAATAATGATAATAATAATAATTTCTTCAAAGAAATCAAAGAACAACAAGATGAAATAATACACCATGTTTCAAAAACCTTATCAAGCTTTGAACAAGTTGAGACATTGGCTTCCTTGCTTAAAGAATCAAGATTATATTATTTAGATTTGGCTCCTAAATTAGTTCCTTGTCGTGGTGAATTAGTCGAGCTACTAATAACTTCTGGTGTTGGAAGATATATTGAATTCAAAGCTTTAGATAAAACATATATTTATTCCGAGAAAGAAGATAATTTTGATAAGGTCACATTCATAATTATTTTAATATAATAATAATAATAATAATAATAATTTTTAAATTAATTATTAATTAAAATTGTAATTTATACAGGTTCCTTGTTCGAAAGAAGACGTTTTCACTAGTCAAACAATACCTTTGATTGATAAACGAAAATTGATGAGGTTTTTATATTTTGCATTAGAATATGAAAATTCACCAGAAACATACGAAGGCAAGCTATCTTTTTATTTATTTATATGCACGTGTATGCGTGTATGGTTATATGTATGCGTGTGTGTTTGATAGAGTCAATCAATCAATCAAAAAATTTGATTTGCCTAACATATATAAAGATACGAAAATAAAATAAATAAAATAGGTTATAGAGAGAAAACTTTTATCAGTTTTCTTCATGAAAAATTTCAAATTCAAGATAAATTGTTATCAGCAATATTGTATTCGATAGCTTTGATTCGAACAGAAGCTGATGTTGGTTAGTGTATATATAAATATATATAATTGATGATTATAATTATTCAATTGAAAATTATATTAAAAACCCAACAACAATTATTTATACACAGTAAATACTTTAGAAGGTTTAGAGATGACTCATAGATATTTGAAATCAATTGGTCGGTATGGAAATGCTGCTTTTTTGGTAGCGCTTTATGGAGTTGGTAGTGAAATTGTTCAAGGATTTTGTCGGTGAGATTATCGTCATCATCATCATTATTATTAGAGTGAATATATAGTGATTTTTATTTAATGGAATATCTTCTCCTGATGAAAAATTTTCTTTAATATATGTATTTATAAATGTAGGGTTTGTGCTGTATATGGTGGAATATATATGCTTGATCATCCTGTAAAACATATTTTAATTGATGAGAATACAAAAAAATTTAACAGTTTAATTGATGTTAACGATCAACAACTCTCTTCGACCCTTTTAATCACATCAATTGACTATATCCCGATTAATATCATAGAAGAAGTTAAAGATACATGGTATTTTTTTATAGACTTTTTTTTTTGCATTAAAAGCTTCTCTAATTATTTTATTTTTCGATTTTATTTTAGGGAAGTAACTTCTCGTGCTATTGTAATAATTGATGGTTATTTACATCAAGATTTTGGTGCCAATATGACTATTTTCCCACCAAATTCTGTTAATAATAATAAATATTCAATTACTGTTCTTCATCAATCATTTTTAACACAAACATGTCCCGAAAATAAATGTAAGTTGAAAAATATCAATGTTTGTATATGCATCTATATATATCCATAACCATTACTTTCAATATCATTATTTTAGGTGTATTACACTTATCAACTAAAGCTAATAAAAACAGTGCAAAAGAAGATTTATTTTGTGCTTTAGAAAAATTAATTAATATTACAAATAGTGTCAACAGAGGCAAGTACCAAAAAAAAAAAAAAATTACAACCATAATCATTACAGTGATTATCTAAAAATTAATTAAAATTATTAATATATATATATATATTTGTATTTTGTATAGATGATGATAATTCCAATAAACCAAGTCCATTATTCACATTATTTTATCAACATAAAAGTAGAACAGCCACATCATTCACATCCACATCATCATCATCATCACTACTACCTGACAATATTATTGTAACTGATGATCCTGATCCATCAATTGATTTTGAAGCAGCAACTATAAAAGCTAAACAAATATTTCATAAAATATGTCCTAATGAAGAATTTTTACCACATGGCCCAGATCCAGATGAAGAAGAATTCATTATTTAATAATAATCATAAATTATAATAAAAGGTTTTTTGATGATGATATTTTATGAATAATAAATACATTTTTATTTTATATAATTAATTAAAGTTTTCTAATGAAAATTTTTTATAAATGTGTGTGTGTCCTTGCTAACCACACGAATGAAAGATTAATTAAAATAAATCCAACCTAAATAATCAATAACAAAATTTAAAAAAATTATTATTTATTCACATTCGAACAAACAAATAGATTTTTATATAAAATTTTTGCCTTATTAAAGTGTTAATTTTTTTTAATTGCATCTTTGTTTATTAGGAGCTTTTTTTTGTTGTTATTGTTGTTATCCTCCAATAAAACTATCAAATTTCATTTTTAATCGTTGGCGCAGAAAAACCAAAATTTTGAATCGGTGATTTTTTAATAAAATGACTACTACACTCCAAGGACCAAATAATTTTGCGGATGATGGTGGTGCAGTGATAGAACGAAAATTAGAAACTCAAAGTGAAAAATTGGTAATAGGAGATGTTAAACAGTTAGAAAATTTTTATGAAATTGAAAGAACTGTAAAGTTTTTATTGAATGGCAATTATGAAAAGGTTAATAATATTTATTATTTATTATTTAAATTTTATACATATTCATTGACAAAAATTTGTTTTTTGTTTTACCGATAGATAGCCCTTCAATTTCCTGACAAATTATTGGCGGACTCTGTTGAAATTGCTACAATTATTCGAGAAAGAACTCAAAAAAAAGTGTTCATTCTTGCTGATACCTCTTATGGAAGGTAATTACTTTTTATCTATACTAGTAAATGTTGGTGATAAAAATAATTGTTATTTTGCACTATTGACGACGATGATGTATTTTTATATATAGTTGTTGTGTGGATGAAGTCGCAGCACAACACGTAGATTCTGATGTGATTGTTCATTATGGTCATTCATGCTTAAGCCCGTGTGTATAATCCATACTTATTTATTTATGTACGTATGTGAAGAAACTCAAAATTAATTCTATTTAATTATTTAATTGTTTAATTATTATTTTTGTATTTTAGAACATCAAGGCTTCCTGTTATATATGTGTTTGGAAAAGAATCAATAGATATAGATCATTGTCTAGAAGTATTTGATGAATTATTTGGCAATAATGGTGATGTTGATAACAGTAGTAATAATAATAAAAACATAATTATAATGTACGATGTGATTTATGCATATTGTATAGGTACTTATTATCATTATTTTAAAATTATTATATTTGACACTGATCATTAATTTATACGTTATCACTAATTCATTCATTCATTTTTAAAAAGATGATTTTATAAATAAATTAAAGATGACAGAGGAAAGGAGAGCCTGCACAAATAACATCATGCAATCGTTTGTTGATAAAGATTCAGCAATAATAATAAATGAATCTGACAAAAACAATTCTTCTTCTTTTTTGGAAGAGAAAAAGATTACTAATTTTGTAACTAAAGGAAGATATTATAGTTTACCAAAAGATGTTAATATAGAAGATTGTTCGATTTTTTACATTGGTGGTGAGAGTACCACATTGTCGAATATAATAATAACACATAATAAGTGTAATGTATGAAAAAAAAAGAATCCATATTGCATCCTTTATTACTATTACTATTATTATTATTATTATTATTATTATTATTATAGAAAAATTAATTGAATTAAAATATTATTATTACTATCAAAAGGTATATTCATATGATCCAAAGTTACGTAAAGGTCGACAAGAAAATCTACAAGTTAATAAGTCATTAATGAAGCGGTAAATATATTAAAATTATAATTATTTAAAAAAAAAACCTTTTTATTAATATTTTGTTATCTGTTTTTTTTTTTGATAGCTTTTATATGATACAAAGAGCAAAAGATGCAGATGTTATCGGAATAGTGGTAGGAACATTAGGTGTAGGTAAGAAGATAAAATTATATTAATTAATTATGCGATACAATACAAACTATCTATCTAAAATTATTTGTTTATTTTTAGCTTCATATTTGGAGATTATATCACATCTTAAAAAATTGATAATAAATTCTGGAAAGAAATCATATACATTCGTGATGGGTAAACTGAATGTAGCGAAAATGGCCAATTTTATGGAAATAGATTGTTATGTGCTTGTGGCTTGTCCGGAGAACAGTTTAATTGATTCAAAAGTAATTATTAAAAGTCAAAGAAATATTATTTGGCTTTTAAAACAATTTCTTCTTGATGATGATGGGAATAATTAATTATATTTAGGAAAAAAATTTTTTATTAAAAATAAATAGGAATTTTACCGTCCTATCGTAACACCATTTGAATTGGAAATAGCTCTTGACCCGTAAGTTGTTATTATATTTATCAGATTCGAAAAGAGGATTTATTATCATCAATTAATGATTGTATGCATATAAAATATATAGATCAAAGCAATGGACTGGAAATTACATTACTGATTTTCAACAGCTTTTAACTAGAAAAGATTATGAAAAAGAATCTAAAAAAATCGATGACCGCGACAAAGTACAGCAAAACGAGGAGAGAAGTGATTATGACGACGACGAGCCACATTTTTCGTTAGTTACTGGACAATTGAAACAAGGACGTAAATATGGCAAAACAAGTACACCAGGTAATTTATTATTATTATTTATTTTAAAAGAAAGTAAAAAATTTGATTTTTTCCTCTCTTTAATGATATATTTTTTTATAAAAATTCATTAGAACTTAGAACGACGACAGATGTAACAATACGTAATAAAGATACTTCAATGTCCATTCTTTTGAATAGTGCTGGAGGTATTTTTATCAATGTTAAAAGACATAACTCGTTAACTTTTATATATTTAAAAGAAGAATTTATTTATTTATTTATTTTAATGTTTTTAAAAATTAGAATTTTTGAATTCACGGACTTTTAAAGGTTTGGAACAAAAAATTGGTGAAACTAAAGCAGAATTAGCCGAAGAGGGTAGAGCTGGTATTGCTAAAGGTTATAGTGATGAGAAAGATGTTTAAAAATGCTTTTTTTGTGAAATTTTTATGAGAGGCTTGTAAAGTGTATCGATCGGCTGTTGTCAACTACTATAAATAGATCATTTGTGGGACATACATTTATATAAATATGATAAATAAGTACAAATTGTAAAGCGAGCGAGTTTTAAAATAAATTGTTTTATTTATTCTTCAGAAAACGAAAAAGCTTTTATATTTATAATTGAAAAAAAAGAAAATTTTTTAATAATCTACAAATCTATTATTATTAGTTAGTTGGTTAGTTATGAATTCGTTGTTTAGAGCTTCTGATGGAAATACTGTTATTGTTGGTACTAAATCTACAAAATTTATTGCACTTGATCCTGCAACCAAAAAGTTGATAAAGTTATTTGATAATAATGAAGGAGATAATGAAAATGAATGTTCTGTTTGTCCTGTTTTACCTAAAGATGCTTTATATATTGGCATGAATGGTAAATATATTATAAAATATAAAAAGAATATTTATATATAATGTATAATAATAATAATAAAATAATAATAAATTTAGCATATAAAATACGTATTTTTGAAAATGGAATACCGAAACGAAATGTTACTTATACTGAATATGTTCCACATAGCTATGACACAAGTATTGAATTAATACATAACACGAAACCATATAATAATGATTTATACATTGCATCTCCAAATGGTGATATCTTGTCAACTAATTCTTATTCTAGTAAGAAAGGTTTCTTTTTGTATTTATGATATTTTATATTTAATAAGCATGGTTTTAAATATGTATATATTTTAAAAACAAAAAGCTCAAAATGAATGGTATCGAGTACTTCGATCTCCTGTTGTTGGACTTTTTGATTCTTTTCCTTCTTCACCTGAATATATATCACCAGCACAGCCATCATCATTATTACCACCACCGTCATCATCAAACGAACTTTCAAAATTAAAAATGGACAATAATGATGATGAAACTTGTCAATATGGTTCATCATTATATCCAAATTGTTTAATTGGAAATAATAATAATATTTTTGATTATGACGATGATGATGATAATGATGATTATTTGATAAATAAAGAACATATCTTTAGGTTAGGCATTGAAGGTCCATCATCTCTCTCATCATCATCATCTTCGTCATCACCTTCATTAAAAAAAACCACAATTATTCAAGAAAATTATTCCTCTTCCGCTTCTTCCTCTCCTCTTTCAATAGATACAACTAACTCCATTATTAGTTTAACACATATTGGACTTTTATTATTTAGTATTATTTCAATGGTTTTTATTGGTATTATTTATTGGAATAAATATAATAAAAAAAATGGTGGACAACATTTTAATAAATTATCGTTGACTTCATTACTTAGAGCAATTGCACAAAAGCATAGTAGTTTTGATAAAAGTTTTATTAATAGTAATGGTATTAATAAGGTAAAATCCAATAAAAAGGAAGTTGGTAATAATAAAAAGAAAAAGAAAGGTAGTAAAAATCATCATAATAATAATACAAATCATAAGAAAGTTGAACTTAAAGATGACTTGAAAACAAATGGCATTACAACCTCTACTAGTCAACTTAACAAAGAAACAACGACAACAAATAATAATAATAATAATAATAACAATAGTCAAAATATAGATGTAAATTATATTAATTTTCCCACTTCAACAATTGACAATAACGCATTATCTAATGTCGTCACTACTGCAGTTAATGGCGAGCTTAAATTAAATTCTTTGATAATTACAGATACTGTTTTAGGTAATTTTTATTTATTTATTTTATTTATTTTGAAAAAAATATTACTAATTTATATTAAAATTGGAAAAAATAATTATTATTAAATGTACATATTATATATATATATACATATTAGGTTATGGCAGTCATGGTACCATCGTTTATAAAGGAAATTTTGAAGGAAAAGAAGTAGCGGTGAAACGGTTATTACTTGATTTTTATGATATAGCACATCACGAAGTATCGTTACTTCAGGAAAGCGATGATCACCCAAATGTTATAAGATATTACTGCAAACAACAATGTGACCGTTTCTTATACATTGCACTGGAGCTTTGTCCTGCCTCTTTACATGATTTGATAGAAAGAGGTTCAACATTTGAACATGCACATCTGATAGAAACATTACACCCATCAAAAATTCTTTATCAAATTATTTCTGGTCTACATCATCTACATTCTATCAAATTAGTACATCGAGATATCAAACCACAAAATATTTTAATAACCACTTCAAAGCACAAGAAAAAAATAAAAAGAAAAGATGGAATTGTTTATGAACAATCGACAATCAGAGTACTGATTTCAGATTTTGGATTATGCAAAAAGTTGGAAGGAGATTCAAGTAGTTTTCACAATACCACAAATAATATTGGCGGTACAATTGGTTGGAGAGCGCCTGAATTATTATCACCATTATCATCACTATCATCATCATCAGACAACAACACAACAGCAGCAGATGCATGGACATCCACAGATCAGTTAAATTGTTCTTTTACTTCATCAGGATCATCAGATAGTTGTGATGATTGTCCACGTAGAATTACAAAAGCAATAGATATTTTCTCTGCGGGTTGCTTATTTTATTATGTGCTGTCCAGAGGAGATCATCCATTTGGAGATCGGTATTCCAGGGAAATAAATATATTGAAAGGAGTATATGATTTAAATAAATTGGATGATGTAGGAGGAAAAGGTATTGAGGCTAGAGATTTAATTGAAAGAATGATTGAACGTGATCCCCAAAAAAGGTAACTTTAATTATTATTATTGTGAATTATTAATACGGAACATTAAGTTAATAATTCCCGCAATATACGTAATGTAGGCCAAACGCAGAAACAGTGATGACCCATCCATATTTTTGGTCATCGTCTAAACGTCTCGGATTTTTACAAGATGCGTCAGATAGGTTTGAAATAGAAGAACGAGACCCACCATCACTGTTACTTCAACACCTTGAGCACGAAGCCAATAAAATAATAGGTCTGGATTGGTATAAACGTATGGATAAAGTTTTTGTGGAAAATCTTGGTAAATATAGAAAATATGATGGAGCTAAAGTAAGAGACTTATTACGAGCTTTAAGAAATAAGGTTTGTATATTCATTCATTCGCATATTTATATAAGTTTTATTTTAAATAAATAAATAAAATAAATAATTTCAATTTCAATTTCAATTTTTTTTAGAAACATCATTATCAAGATCTTCCAGTTCATGTAAAAAGATCACTTGGAGAAATCCCAGATGGATTTCTTTTTTATTTCACTTCAAGGTTCCCAAAACTTATGCTACATGTTTATTATGTAATAGCTGAGTCGGAATATTTAAGGAATGAAAGTATATTCAAACATTATTTTGAAATACCAGAAATATAAAGAACAATTTTTATAAAAATTCGAATTATATTCTTGATTTGGTTGCTTATTTAATATATTATTGTAAAATATTAATTTTTGTTATTTTGGTTTCTATTTTTTTTTTTTTTTGTAAATAAATTTTTATAAAAATTTATTTTAAACTTAATAATATATACATTAATAGAAGAAAAAAAAATAAACGTCATTTTTTTTATAATTTAAGTAGAATGTCTTCTGAATAATATTTGGTGTATTCTTAATATTAACTTAACAGTCGCAAAATTAATTGTTAATTAGTGATAAAGTGGAATGAAAAATTGAGAGCAATCTTAATGTACCAGCAATGACAATTGCAGTTGATGAATGAGGACCCCGAGGCTTTATAGCGTAGCCACATTTAAATGAAATTACACGATGGATCAACAGAAATTATTAACATTCCAATTTAAAGAGAGTATTTAAAAAAAATCTGACTCATGCATTGAGCTCATTATAATTACAACCTGACTATAAAGTTATATATCTTTAGAGTTTTATTTTAAAACAACGTCACAAGATCTATTGTAGTATCTAGTGACGTAATAGATTTGGCAGAATATGAAGTTGGTCAAATAAATGACAAGGAATTAAGCATGTTGGAACTCAATGGGGAGATTCATTTGTATCAAGTATGACACCATCAATTGGAAACCTTCTTTCACGTTTGATTCTAATTCTCAATCGTGGATGTGAAGGGTTCAAAGAAGTTCAAAATTTTCGTTTGCATTCAGATTATCTATATCAAGAAAACATGTTGGCCAAATTGCCTCTCTTAATAAATGATCACCACCAGATCCAATAGTTTTTCATAGTTGCCGAAATCAACTTTATTACTTGTCAAAACTATATCTGTAATTATTTGAACACTTTAACTTATTGGCCAAAATTTTGGGTAGTTTTTTTACGTCTATTGCTATCCAAAATTGTTTTGCCAAAATTAATTTTTTCAAAAACTATTTCGGCTAACATCCTAATAGATCTACAAAAATTGGGAATGCACGCATATGTTATTAATTGATTGTTGGTTACCTTTCTTATAAACAATCAATTAGATCACGTAAAGAAAATTGTTTCACAATTAATATAGGATTTTACTATTGTGTATATATTTGTAATTGTATGAAGTCGAAATTAAAACCCCAAAGTCGAAATGTTTCGACTTGAGGAAACTACATAGTAAAAATCGGTTTCAACCTTATTTCGACCCTATTTCGACCAGATCCGCAAATAGTCGAAATAGTTTCGACTTCATGTATAATTAATTGTAATTGTAATAAATAGGTAAATTGATGAAATTTAACGAATTTTAATTTCAACAAAAAATTCAATCAATAAAAATTTATCTGATGATCAAATACTATATATTAATAATAATAATGTGTACTATTTTTACTGGTTTCATTTACATTGTTAGTTGAAATAAATGATCTTTTAAAAGGAACTGCAATTTTCAGGACTGAGGTTGATGAAGAATTAATTTTCAAGAAATTTTGTGAGAGGTGATGGTGGTGACCAAGGAAAAAGGTTTCAATTGGCAATATCATACAAACTGCAAGGCAATTTGCATTAAAAGATGGTTGTAAATATGCATGCATCATTGATACTAATATTAACAACCAAAACTGCTTGAATTTTTACTATATTAAATTTCTCATTTGCTTTTTTTTCTATTCACATTAATTCAATTGACTAAGATTTCTTTTGTTAATATAATGATGATGATGATACCATTGATAATGATAACAATAATGACAATGATAATGATGATAACAATCATGATTACAACAATGATGATGACAATAATGACAATAACAATAATAGCAGCAACAACTACATTAACAATGTTTGTAATAGTGATGGTGGTCATGTTAATGATAACAATGATGGTGGTAATAGTGGCCACAAGCATTTGCTACAAACCCTCCCTCTATTCATATGTACTGGCACATACATTAACAACATCCACAAAAAAGATAATAAATTAGGATATGAGAGTTGGTTTAATGAAAAAGATCTACAACAGGGTCACTAAAACAAAAAATCTTTGAAACAAGTATTTTGGCATCATATCATATCAATTATATCTAAAAAATTTATTTTATGATTAAACTGGCATGTAAACTATTAGACATATGGATGTATTTATTTATATAAATGGTTTATTTATTAGATTCCAATACATCAAGGATAACCTAAAATTTCATTGGTTGGCAAATTGGTATCAGGTGGGAATGATTTTTTGCATTTGAAAGCCCTGGAATTGAAATTTATATATCCAGTTATAGAATCATCATCTTCTCATCATCTTCAAACAATAAAAATCAAGGAAAAAACGTTGACAAGAATTGAGCAGCACTGAAAAAAATTGAGGACATGTTTGTTGAATCAAGCAGTTTTTCAAAAGTCTTTGAAAAAGTTGAAGAAATCATTGGAAATGAGCAAAAACATGGTGATGAAATGGGAGCTTAACAAGATAAGTGGGAGATTTTTTTGTGTTTTGGTGCACATACACACACATAGCATCTTAATTTCTAGATCAATTGTATAATATAATGTAATACTATAATGTTGTTGTACACATGTTATAACAAATAACATGTGATGAGAATACTTATTAGTTAATAAAATTTATGTGATGAATTTTCTTTATTTCCTTTTATTGTGTTACTTTCCTTATTATTATTAATGTAATGTTAGGTAACCTGACTACTGGGCAACAGGAGAGACTGTTCTGGCAGTGTTGTGGAAATGGAACATTGTAACGCTATTGGAATGTTCCAATGTAGATCTTCAATTGATATCAACCAATAAAATTCGTGTGTA